AGGTGTAAAAAGTTGGTATTATTGACAATGAAAATGAATAATGCTAACCAAAAAATGTTAAAATTTACAAGGACGAAAATTGTAAACTTAGAATTGTTTTATATTGTGAGTAATAATTTAATTAATAACATAAGAATTACTCTACCAAAATTATAAAATTATCGTCAAATTTATTTTTCATAAGCATTTTTAAGTTCGGAGTTCGACAAAATACGTAGAAATTACGAAAATGTGCAAATTATTTTGAGTTAGAAATTCATAAAAATTTTGATTTTAAAATGTAATAAAAGATTCTTTATAAGCTTGTCTACCTTTATAAAAACAAAATGTCTGTAAGTAAGTAAAATTAAATTGATATGAACATTTGAAGTTCAAATTATTACAACATGTGATATTCACTCGATTTCTCAAGTAGATATTTTCTTATTTTGTTATAATTCAAAAACTAATAACCATAGAAACTTAAAATTGATATCATATGTTTATTTTATCAACTCCTATATTTCAAAATATTTGACTGTTTACGAACTGTTTACTGACATTTTCAATTTTTTTTGTTTTTTTTTCTACAAACATCAATACAATTTTATTTGTTGGGGCAAAAAGCGTAATGAAATAAACACAAGGCTCCTGATATATTGTTATAATAGTAGTTGAAAAATATTTAGAATACATTAAAATTAAATTAAAAAATTAAAAATGTATAAAATATTTAACTTTAATAGCTAAGGATTGAAAATTAAAAACAAGGTTCCACGTAAATAGGTTATTCTGTAACCAAAAAATCTCAAAAATAAAACATTAATTTTTATAGTTATTCCATGTTCAAATTTAAACGAAATTACATATTAAATAATAAATACTAAAGATTTGAGTTATTTTGTTGTAAATTTAAAATATTAATTTAATTTAATTGAACTAATAACAATATAAATAATAAATATAATATAAAATACCCACACTGACAAACCATCTCCGGAGACGGTCTGGCAGTCCGGATATTTTATATTGTTATTATATTTTATTATAGCCAGTAAGTTGAATTATTATTATAAATTACAACAAAATAACTATTTTAGTTATTTTTATTTTTATTCGTTTCTATGGTGATAAGCAAAGTGTTGAAAATTAAATTTCCATTTTTGGCGGTTTTTTGTAATTTGTGGGTTTTCACGTGGCATTAAATAACTATTGAGAAAATCGAAAAATTACCTGTCTAAAGTACCATTTTGATCCAATTTCCTAAAAGTTAGGTTTGGTTTTGGTCCTTTATGCATTACAAAAAAAGACATTTTGTAGTAAATATTTATAAATTGTTATTTTTTATTTTTATTACAGATAATTCGTAATTGTTACAATGTTGTTTGGGTTTTAATAAATTATATAAAAGTAAAGTATGAATTATAATTGTTGATCATGAATCATAGTTTATTTATTTAGTTAAGTAGTATTTATTGTACTATAATTTGATTATCGTCCAAACAAATATAAATTACTAGGCATGCATTTGTAACTACATACTTAATCATTAATATGAATCATGTAAAACAAAAATATTTTCAAAAACTATTAACCTTCATAAATATTGTTAAAAGCATCACTTATAGTAAATACTATTAGATCATTTTATTAAATACATATCGGTAGGTATGGATGATAATTGTTTTCTGTATAAAGAGAACAATTTGAACAGTTCTGTTTTTTTATTTATAGAAACTTATTAAACTATGATGTATTTGTATTATGTACTTTATGTGTAGCTATATAAATCATATTATATAAATAGGTACATATTACAAATAGGTGCATATTTTAAGTTAATAAATATATGTTATTTAATACTATACATTGGTATTTTGATTTTGATTTCTCTCAATTTATCCTTTAATATAGGTAATAAAATAAAAAATAGGTAACACTTCACACATAGGCTAACCTAGTACTAACCTACACACTAACCTAACTCAACCCAGTACGGTGTTGGTTATTTTTTGAATAAAACATTTCAAAAATCCAAATAAAACAATAATTGTTATAATAATGAATTATTCATTGTCGAAATATTATCACAATTAACTAATTCTATTCGATTAAATATTTACACAGTGTATTCAATCGTTGTCAACAAAACAATATACTCGCCAACTTACTTTTATAATTATAATACTAATAGCCAGCACACTAGCACAGTATTGGTGGATTACACAAATATTAATTTGACCATTTTCTAGCCAAGTAGACAACATTTTCGATATTGTATAATATCATTTTTATAACAGTATATAGACTATAGAGTATTAAAATGATCGGAGTTTATTATTTTTTATAGTAAAAATTAAATTCCAACCAGTATTATACTTAATCATTAGGTAATAGGTATATATAATATATTTATATATATCGTTATATCGCCTATAGTGCCCTATACTACACATTATATTATTATATTATATATCATTCACACATTTTTCCTTAATCAAAACTTTCAAATTTTTTTGTCATCATCTTTTAAACACAAAAGGCGTTCTAATCTCCACCTAAAGCTATATACAAATTACTAGAAATTTAATTCCTTGACATCTCGAAAATACATTGTTATTCGTTAGACTGGAACCGAACCGAAAAGAACTGGTTCTGGAACCCAAAATATACTTATCACGTTTATAATTTTAATAATTTATTATTATTATTCATAATTTAAAATTGTATATATTATTATATTGGTCATTTAAATGTTAAACATCCAAATATTCTGAATTGCTTGTATCAGTAATAGATATTTTATAACTAATCACAATATAATATAGTGCTTAGTGGGAGACATCTCATGTATAAAGAAGATCTTCGACGAAATTATATTATTGTTTATTATTAAATAAAAAATGCTTGAAAATAAGTCTACATTTTTCCCCAACATCCGTTATTACCTACCGTTATTGATAATTACACTTTTAAATTCTGAGCGGATCGATGAATGTGTTGATTTTACAATGATATGTGGATTTTTTTATGTGTTTAAAATGTTTTCTGGTAGGAAAGTAAATCTAGTGTATACTTTCGAATTTTGACCAACTTTATCAAATTTAAAATGTGATAATTTATTTTTAGTTAAAAATTTATAAAATGTTCAACTTTTATAGCTAAGGATTGAAAATTTAAAACCAGATTTCACGTAAGTAGGTTATTTTGTAACCACACGATTTTAGTTATTTTGTTGTAATTTTATAATATTAATTCAACTTACTGGTAACCATATTAGTAATAAGTAATAACAATATAAATATAATATATTTACAATTAATATCCACACTGACTAACCGTTTCCGCTCAGAATCGTTTTTCCGTTTTCGTACACATTGATATTACCTGTATCATTGAATTAAAATTTAATAATATCCATTACACAGTGACCCACTTGGCCACTGTACAGCAAAGTGACATCCACTTACGTCTTACCCACCTTTTTATTTTTAGTTTTTTTTTATAAAAGCTTGACAATTTAATTAAAACTTAATACAAGGCTCCTAATATATTGTTGCAATGCAATTTGAAAAATATTAAAAATCCATAGTCACAGTAAGTTCTTATTTATTGGCATTAAATGTTCAAAACTTGACAAAATACGCAAAAATGACGAAAATGTGCAAATTATTTTGAGTTATAAATTCATAAAAAGTATTTTTTCAAATCTAAGATTTGAATTTTACTTCAAGATTGCTCATAAGTTTGTTACCTATATTAAAAAAATATGTCTACAAGAAAGTCAAGTTAAGTTTTTATGAGCGTTTGAAGTCCATATTTGTACAACATTAGATATTCACTCGATTTCTCTTGACTTAGTGATTTTCTTATTTTGTTGTAATTCAAAAACGAATAACTGTAGATACATTAAAATTTCTCTAAAAGTTTGTTTTCATTTTTTTTACCCTATAAAATTTTGAAAATATTTTGACTCGGTTTGAGCTGTTTACGGACAAATTCAATTTAAATTTTTTAGTTTTTTTTTTCTATAAATATCAATACAGTTTTATTTGTTGGGTCAAAAAGTGTGAAAAATTAATACAAGGCGCCTAACCTAACCTGATATATTGTTACAATAGCAGATGAAAAATATTAAAAATATATAGGCACGTTTTGGTTTTTTTATAATCATTTAAAGTTAGAACTTTGACGAAATTTATCAAATTGAAAATTTACAAATTATTTAGTTAACAAAAATTATTATAAAATATTCAACTTTTATAGTAAGGATTAAAAATTTAAAACAAAGTTCCACGTAAATAGGTTAAATATAAATTACTTTATTCACAATAGTATCATCAAATATACTTATTGATATGGCCATAGGCCGGTTACCGTCTTCGCTCAGAATCATTTTTCTTATACAATGATATTTTATCATTGAATTCAAACTTAACACAATCCATTACAACTTGTAACCTACTGTACAGCAGAGCGACACACACTTACTCACCTTTTTTATGTATGATTTTAACACTGTTTATTAATAATACAATTTTTTATGGATTTCAGTTCAAATGTTGAAAATCAAACAACATATTATTATAAGTAAATAATTGTAATCATTTGTAATAGTTGTTATCTCGAAAAAATATTTCGCTGATTAAATTTATCGAATGTTATATAGTAATATTAAAAGTTACGGAACTCAAAATGTATTTTTAAGATAAGGACAAGGTCATTATAACATAATATAATATAATACTATATACATAGTTATAATCATATTTTATTGTAAATGCACATAAAATAATATTATAACGTAAAATTGTATTTTAAAATGATGATACACCAAATTATAATATAGATTTTACAAAGTAGGTAGTAGTACAATGTACCTAAGTATTAATATTTTAACCATAAATTATGAGTTAAAAAAAAAAAAAAAGTTAAAAATAACAGTTAATATAGTGTTATATTATTATTTTTTTTATACTGGACGGATATTAAATTGTTTAAAATTCTTTGTCTTCAATTAGTTAGCACAATCCAACGGGCTTAGGATGTATATATTTGCATATAACGTTCCGCAAATTATTTTTTGCTTCATCTTGTTCCATTTTGTTGTACACCTGAAATGGAAAACAGTTATAAGTTAAATTATATTCGGCTTACGGACATGGTCAAACACTGTGATTCATAAAATTAATAGGTTGACTGTGGTTAACATGTGATTATTGTAGGTACAGTGAAACTCTAAAATATATGTCATAAACTCACCCCGTTAATAACAATAGCAGGAATCTGAGCCGATTGTGTTAAAACGGTCTGCGTCCGATTGCTGTATTGAACCATTAACGAATCGCTGAATTCTCTGTTCATAAAACATTTCTTTATCTTGCCGTAATAGTCATCGTACAAGCCCATATTTCTCGTACACTGAAATTAATACGAAATTTAGAAAAAACACATTTAAAAAAAAATTGTTATATTCGTAAAAATGTTATTTATATTATTAAAACTGGAATAGGTACATATGCTACTACGCTGCAAATGACCTTTTTTATACTATTATATTATTTATACAGTAAGGTTATCTATCACGAAATGTAATTGAATTTAATGATTTGAACTCTAATCCATAATGATTTCATCTACTTGAAAATTTAAATCATTATTATATTAAACTTTCCAGTTAGACATATCAAACTTCTCGAGTGGAAATGCTCACGAAAACAATAACAATATCGTATTTTAACTTAATTATATACAAAATAAGTCGATCTTAAAGTACAAATTATAAACGAATAATTTAACCAGAAAAAAACTAATTAGTATAACACATAACTAAATATTTGAAATAAAAATATCAGAAGACTTTTATTGTTAGAAAGATTTTCATTTTAATAGATTTAAAGCTATAAGCGAGAAATATTTTTTCGTTTTATAATATTATGTTTCATTTTCAAGCAGCAATTTATTTATCTTGGTTATCTGTTTAGTTAGCTCTGTGGTTTTCCTGATCACGAGCAATAATAACTACTGTTATTCTACAAAAAATATAAATTTAATCAAGCACGGTTTTTGTTAAACCCAACTCATCATTTTTAGAGGCGGGGATATGCTGTCAAATAGATGAAATGGGATAATTATACCTAGGTACGTGTAATTTTAATTATTATTCGAATTTTTTTTTACATTTATTTCTGGTCAAATGTAAATAGTTACTAAATTATAGATGGTAATCGTAAGACATGTTGATTTTTATGCACTTTACAATATAATATAATTTTATCCATTTTTTGAAAACGCATTATTTTATAATGGTTTATAGTGGTATAATAATATGCAAGCCAGAAGGTTTCATAAGTTTGGCAATTTGAATGGCTTATACAATATCTTAACGGTTATAATATTTAATACCATGAATATAATTCTAAAAAGTATAATTGTTATTCAAATAATAATTCAATTCCAAAATCCTTGCTTTTTAATTATAGACTATAATATTTAATAAAAAGAGTTCGGTTGAGAAATGCGAAATTTTAATACGAAAATCGTTTTACTGCATGCTTTAGATGGTAACAGGTTTCCACGATTTTCACCAGATGAGATTATACGTTTCTAATTACCTATGCTAAATACAATACCTAACATATAAATATAGGTATGTGTACAAACACTTCACTGACCAACCAAAATAAATAATTATTTCAGTTTGTCATATTAAAAGTGTGAAAGTGATTCTTACTTGATATCCCGAATGCGTTTCAACTTTAGAGCTCATGTAACAGACCAAATAATTAGCCAATAATTGCAGTTTGGACGGTAGTATATGAATGCTACACGCTTGCCATTTATTTTTCATACATTCAGTTAGTCCGTTTTGACATTTAAAAAACCATCTTCCTTCGAATAATTTTTTCTGTAACGTTATAAGTATAATAAAATATATAAAAATGAATACGTTATGTACGATACATATTATTTAGTTGCAAATGTATAAAAACAAAACATAATATATAATTATTACCACCCAATGATCTCTAAAAAGTACTGGGATAAATAATTTTTAAATTAAAATATCAAGTTCATATAAGTACACTCACGTCAGATTTCCCGAAAGGCACGAAATCAAAGTTGACATATTTTTGAAATGTTGCCAAGTTTGGACCTATTTGATTTTTGAACAACTCTACAGAATCCGAGCACAAGCTTCCGTAGTATATTGACACAGTTATTTTCTGAAAAAAAAATTCGCAACAACATTGGTAAATTTGTTTGTCTTTCGAAAACAGCAGTGTAATATTAATAATGGATTTATTTTTTCACTCACGGGCACGGAGTTTTGATTGTCGACGTGAGGCGCGTCGTACAAAGGTTTTACCAACACTTTTTTGGCCGTAGCTAAGTCCATCGAACTAGTTTTAGTAACTATTACTAATAAAAATATGACGGAAAATGCAGTACTAGCGATCATTTCTAAGGATAACTTATTACGATTTACGACCTACACAACTACAGTCGCACTCGGTAAAATTATTAAATGATTGTAAGTACGTTTTGGTCGCGCCTATATAACCGCACCACACGTCCCCATCCGTTTATCCACAATACGCTTGTGTATGGGTATGGATGTTCGAGACATTGTACTTTATATACTACAATTATGCATATTATAATAGTAATAGACCATGTGTGTGTGTGTAGAATGAAAACATACCTACTCCCGTAAAATCGGATGTTATTTTATCTCAAATGGTTACATCTATATAGGTACCTATTTAATTAATAAAAACCGTTATGCGTTAGATTACGCATCCGTTATAAAGGCCATAATAATATACCATCGCTACGTATATTATAATATTATATTGGTAATAATATTAACACGATCTCGAAATTAATTGATTCTTTTTCCATAGTTCTATATGAATCGGATTTAGGACTACAGAAACCGAACTATAGGTACTAGGGTAGTACTAGGGTATGGTCGGTATTATGGAGGGGATGGAGGGATTCCTTTATCTTTTGGCGACCAAATCAATATAAACCAGAGAGTATGTAGAATATTAGTTCGGTTAGATATTTACTTAAGGTTAATTACCGCAGATCAACGGGGGGGGGGGATTTATTCCTATTTACATTATTTTTCGCTAAACAGTTTAATATATATAATTGGCCAAACAAATTATAGAGTTAGTTTCAAATGTATAGTCTACGTTTAGAGTATTTAACCATATCATCTGTAGAGCCTCTTCAGGCCTTAATAACCGTGGTAATAACCGATGATACAATTATGGCAGACGTTTAGAAATGTTCTTAATAATAAGCCAAAAAAGAAAAACTGAAACTATGATTCTTGATGTTATTGCTATTTTAAAATTTATTTTAGATCTATTAAAAATGACTAACAATTAATTTGTGTATCGATTAAGGTGGTATACATTTTTTTTTGTATAAGGAAGACATTTCACTATTTCAGTTGGGGTTAGAAGTTAGAACCCTAGAACCATACCCATGTGTACGCCACTGAATATTGTAAATATTAAACAACTCATTAATAAATGGTTATCATAAATAAATTCATTATTATATTATACTAGTTGATCCCACGCACTTCGTGGCCCGTAAAAATGACAACTGTTAAAAAAATTGTGATTGTTCAACTCCTTTTGGGTGTAACTCGCTGCAGTAAGTACCTACAACTCAGCCACCCTGGTAAGCAATGTGTGAAACTTCGATATGATGCATGCTTGTACCTGATCTGCCCGATCAGGGGCAGATCTGAAGCTTGTTTAAGGGGATGGCGAGTAGGAATATTTTTGAGTGATGTATAAAGTACAATGAAAATGTTATTTCTATATTAATTATATGAGTTCTTATGAGAATCCGAGTTCAGTTTAAATAGTCTGAATAAACATTGATTAACAATCATTATTGTAATTAATATGATTAATTAAATATTCTTAGTTACAGTTTATAAATCTGACTTTTCTGAGTAAGTACACAAAAACATCAAGTTTTAAATCGAAAAGTATAAAACTTTAAGTTTGGCATAAATGCAGTTCAGCTACCAAGCGTTTTTTAGATTTTTTTTTCAAATATTCGGTATATTATGGTAACTACTAATAAATTGGATTATTTTTAATAAGAGTGCAATAAGTATAAAATAATACAGTTAGTACAGTTAAGCTATACACATAATGTAAAGTTTTTATTATTTAAAATTTTAAAATTTGAGTTCCATTTCTATTTTCTATTTTTAATGTTTGTGTGCAGAGTATTAGATTACATTGATTATTTAAAAAACAGTAATCTGAAATTATTTATTGAATTAAATTGAATTTGTGTATATATGTACCTAGTATGTATTATCTATTGTATTGAATTGTTTCTAAGCATATATTAGAAAATCTAACTAAACACAAGAACGAAAAAAATTGTGAATTCTTGATTTTTAAACTTGGCTCGGGTTATAAACAGACACCGACTAATCGAACCCCCCCTCCCACAGAATAGAGGCACGTCAATTCTTAAATTGTTAAGACTATATTTTGTGCTATACTGATAAAGAGCATTTATACTTTATATAGCCTATATTATATAAGTACATACTATTTAAAATATTGTATACTTGCAATCTACATTAATGACACATCGCTATATGTTAAATAACTGTGGAATGTAAAAAGTTTTTCGTTACTGCCTACTCAAAGGAAAATATGACTTGAAGTACCTACGCTTGACATTCGAATACTTCCGTTAACCACTCGACTTTAGAAGGATCTCAATGAATGAAACTTGTGTGACAACTACTTGACCATTGAAGTTATAATAATATTATGTAAATATAAATACGAGTTTTTCAGTAATGATGTTGATATAAAATAAATGAACTTTTTTTGTGACATTATTGGTTCTACGTAAATAAATTGACGTGTAATAATTATAAATTGCAGTTTTAAACACCGAATAATACAATGAACACTGTAAAGCCCAGTTATAAGGGAGTCTTCTAGCTGTTAGGTTGTCTATTTAAAAAAAAATAATGTTCAACGCCCGTAGGGAAATTGTAATTCAAAGGCACCGCCGTAAGTCTAATACGAAGAGTTCGAAAATTAAATCTTTATTAATACCTAATAGTAATTACTTACGTGAATTTTCGTCGATCACAAGCTTACATGGCATAATGTATTTGGGTGAACCACGAAGACCTCTATTAGAAAGGTGAGTATAAATAACCAATAACTAAATCAAAAAATTAAGGTGTATCGAAAAAAAATTAAAATATTATACCTACCACCTTCCCTATCCCTTGTCTGGTATTATAAATACCATTTGTACTTAAAATAGTGTAGGTACTTGTATAATAGTGTATGTGATAATTACTATTAAAGCGTCATCACAAAAAATGTCAAAAATAAATATTATTATTATTATCTAATGCCTATATACCTAACAATATAATAATATTAAATACATTTTTAGATTCTGAGCGGAGCGATGAATGTATTGGTTTTACAATGATGTATGTTTTTATATTTTTATTTATATTTTTATATTTTTATATTTTTATATTTTTGTGTCTGTCATCACGTTTTAGGACAGTAAAAGTGCTTCGATTTTCTTCAATAGTACCTTTTCTGATAGGAAAGTGAATCTAGTTGGTACTTTGGGGGGTCAAAAGTAAACATTTCCCAGTAGTTTTCACAAGCGCCGGGAAAAACAACATAAAAATTAAGGAAAAACGGGAATTTTTACGCAAAAATTGTTTTCCAAAAAATCGATTTTGGTTATTGGTGTAACTCTAAAACAAATGAACGTATATACATGAAATTTTCACTGGTTGTTAATATCTGCATTTTCTATACACGATAACATTTTCAAAATATTTTGAATATTTATTTTGAACTGTTTAGGGACATTTTCATTTTCCATTTTTTTTTAGTTTTTTTTCTAAAAATATCAATAAAATTTTATTTGTTGGTTGCGAAAGCTTGAAAATTTAATAGAAGGCTCCTAATATGTTGTTTCAAAGGCAGATGAAAAATATTAAAAATCCTTAGTCACAATTTTTTTTTATAAGCATTTAAAGTTCAAAAATTGACAAAATATGGAAAAATCACGAAAATTAGCAAATTATTTTGAGTTAAGAATTCGTAAAAATTTTTCTTTTTAAATCTAAGATTTGAAAATGAAACACAAGATTCCTTATAAGATTATCTACCTTTATCAATAAAAAAATCTCTACCGGACAGTCAAATTAAATTTTTATGAGCGTTTGAAATTCAAATTTTTACAACATTGGATTTTCACTCGATTTCTCATGTAGCGATTTCCTTATTTTGTTGTAATTCAAAAACGAATAACTGTAGATACATGAAAATTTCACTGAATGTTTATATTAGCATTTCCTATACACCATACAATTTTGAAAATATTTTGACTCTTTTTGAGCTGTTTATGGACATTTACAGCTTTCAATTTTTTTTAGTTTTTTTTTCTATAAATATCAATAAAGTTTTATCTGTTGGGCCAAAAAGTGTAAAAATTTAATACAAGGCTCCTGATATATTGTTACAATATCAGTTGAAAAATATTAAAAATACATTGGCACGATTTTTTTTTATAAGCATTTAAAGTTGGAATTTTGACAAAATTTATCAAAATCTCGAAAATTATCAATCGTTGGAATTAAAAAATTATAAAATGTTCATTTTTTATAACTAAGAGTTGAAAATTTAAAACAAAGATTCTCTTAAATAATTCATACTGTAACCAAAAAATCTAAAAAATATATAAACACACTTATTTTTTACAGACATTTTAATTTCAAATTTAGACAAAATTTCATATTTAAACCAAGAATTACGATTTTAGTTATTTTGTTGTGATTGAATAATATTATTCGTGAGTACTTGAAACTTCTAAAGTGTACTATTATATATCTATGACAGTATCACGGTTTTTGTTGATGTATAACGCGTTATAAGTATCTAATGGATATTGTGATATGATTAATTTGGAATTTATTATAGGTACCTATTATAGGTCAATTTTTGTTTAATACCATAGATATGTATATAATATGCCTTATACATAGACTGACATACCATCACCGCTCAGAATCGTTTTTCTTATACAATGATAACATATCATTGAATTCAAATTTAATACCATCCATTATACAGTGACCCACTTGTAACCTACTGTACAGCAGAGCGACACCCACTTGTCCACCTTTTTTAACATTTATTTGAATACATACAATCTGTAATAAAAGTTACAGTAAGCATATGATCCTGGATACAATTGGCTTTGAAAGCGTGAGGGGAGTAGTTAGTAGTTACCCAGTACTCGACTAAATTAGTAGCCGGTAACCAGATGTTACACTCGACTAAATTAAATGAATAAAATACATTTTACAGTAAATTATAGCATTTTTGTAACTATATTCATAACTTTATAAAGACTTTGGAGCTCAAAAAATTAACCACCACTGAAACCTATAAAGTACTTTTGGAATAGTATAGAATACCTAGAATAGATTAGAATAGAATAGAAAAGATCAAAAGAATAGTGTAGAATAGGAATTCATTATGCTTCATCACGCGGTACTATTAAAATCAAAATTATATCTGTGGTAGACCTATTTTACATGGATTTTTGAAGGAATTATTTGAAATATGGTTCAGGTTTATTAATTATTACAATTTAAAATTGATGGTAAAAAATAATTATGAATTTATAGTTTGTTCATAATATTATATTATATATTGTTTAGTCAAAATGTTTAAGATTATATTTTCCTGGTAATATTTCTAATGCCAATTGTTTCAGGTTAATATAGAAAGTCGAAACATAATACAGAAGTATAATATAATATAACAAATTACCTATTTCTTGTACGTTTATGATTAGTTTATCTGTATTAATTGTATTTTTAGATATTATATTTAAATGCAATCATGTGATTTGCAATAATTATTTTCTTATCACTTTTTTAAAATAAAAGTTTATTTCAACTCGGAATATTATTGTTCAGTATTTATTTTTATTATTATATACTTTATGAGCTAACCTTATAAGTCAAGTTGCACCAATAAGTCAAAACCACGTCCAAACCGAGAAAATAATTAGAATTGTTTTTATTGAAATATGTTGTTATAAATACCTATAGATAAATTTTTTAATATACAATAGTCAATAAATCAAACTCTTGTTGAAAAAACAAATCCTTTAACAAATAAGTTGAATATTGAAAATGAATGTTGAGCTACCTAATCGCATCAGAGTCGGATAAAATTGGTTTCTTTAACAAACAGATAAATTGAGTAAAAAACGAGCCTTTAATCTTTAGTTTTTATTTATTTATTTTTATAAATATGGGCGATTTTTTATGAAATTTATATCATTATATTAGTTAACTATACAGATACAAGAGGTAAATATTTTAAAATGTCCTTAATTCTCTAGGGTTTTTTGGTTTGGTGTTATGTCTTTGGTGATGTCCTTATGCGGCTTGCAAATTTATCAATTATACAGCAATTGGTTGAGTAGTAGAACGATATTGACGTTGGATAACAATAAGTATGGCATATGGGACCTACCGTTTCCGGCAATTACATTCTGTAGTGATATTCAGCTTCAACATATCGGCAATAGGACACTTGGAGACGATGCTTTTAATAAGTAATAATAATAATAATAATAATAATAATAATAATAATAATCACCTTTAACATTGTAAGTGTAACATTTTGGATTTTAGAGAAACCGAAGACGTAATAAATTTATTGTGCAATAAGTTTGAACTTTATAAAAACGTGACATTAAAAATGATTGATTCAAAAAATTGGGAGCATGTGATTAAGGTTAGATAAATTATAGTTTTTATTTATTAATTTTTTATTATTTACTCAGTTTCTATAAAAATATATTAATAGCAACATTTTTTTAAAGATGTTTTAATTTAAATATAGCATTTTCTATATATTTTACATATTTTCTTGGTGAAAAAAACGTTACTCTTTTATAAGTGAAAAATATGTTGTATCGGTGATACTTGAGTTATTTAAAGTATTTTAAAGTTTTTTTTTTTGGCGTTTTAGGGAATTTTTAGTTTTTTTTGTAAGTACTAAATTCTTACATACGATTTTAACTTTTCTCTATTTATTAAAAATATTTATGAAAAATACATAGGTACTATTATGATACTGAATTTATAGAATTTATTGCAATAAATAAAACGTTATGAAATATTTTAGAAACGTACATGACTTTTCTATATAATATACATCTGCTTAAAAATATATTTATATGTATTCTACTTATATAGTAATACAATAATCACTACGTATACAAAATAAAATATTTAATTTATAACAATTTTAACACATACATAATAATTAATATAGAAAATAATCATATTTTAAATGCATTTCTATAGGTATCTAAGACTATATTATATTAGTGCAGTTATTGTTAGGATTTTAAAAGCATTAAATTTATACTGCCATAATTATTGCTAGTACAATATAAAACCCGTTGTTTTAAAATGAGAAGAACAGGATAATACTTATGCGTTTTATTTCGATTTAAGTACCACAAGACTACCTGTAAAAATTTGATTCCGATGTTATTTTGGATTCAAGACGAAATCTACTCGCCTTGTGATTATATCCAACCGATTATAACGTCATACGGTCTGTGTTATTCAATAAATATGATTCCTCACCATCAGTTGTTGCACGATAACTATCTCCAATCGTAAGTATTACAATCGCATACAATATCCTGCATCTGGCATCGCCATTCCATAACTATACTTTATTCAGGATAATAATTCCCGAATTTACGGATGAATACTGATAACTGAGCAACTGGTAGTACATCTTAGATAAGGTTAGTCAATACTTGTACTGGCTATACATATTATGCTAGTTTCATACCAATACTATAGAATAAAGATAACTGCCGATGGCTCAGTAATCAGTATTCATGCATGAATTTGGAGATTCTTATCCTGAATAGAGTATATTATATCAGGGGCGGTCCCATAGCTAGGGCTTAGCCCCTCTGGCCTTCTCCCTAAAGACTAAGTGCCTATTACTGGATACTACTATGGATTATATATTATACTGTATTTATGATCAATGTGTATTATATTTGTGTTATAAGTTATAACAAAATATTGTTGGATCTCCCCACTGTACTCTGGATATGTGCATGAGCTATCATATTATACTTAGGTATAATAGATCGATGGTACATAATTTCATTCCAGTATCGAATAATATGTCGTGTACACTATATTATTGCATGTCCGGTGTAGAACGTCTTTTTTGAACCTGACACAAGCCGATATCATAGCGAAGAAAAACCAAACCACCTGGACCCCTGAAACTGGTTACAGCCCGAACACTATCCCGTTTGACGTACCGTGGAGAGTGACCGGCGACACCGTCGACAATGCTGTTCGGTTGATCTTTGATTTGACGAACGAGAATTTAGGAGACCACTGCCCGAAAAGAGAATCCGGACTGACGGTAAACCTATGATTATCGTTTAGTTTATTTGATTTAGTACAAAAGTATCTATATTTAATATTATTATATTTTTCCTACATACCTAATACAATTTATTAATACTGTAATAACAACATACGAGCTTCATAGGCGTGCGCAGGATTTTGTATCTGGTACAGCATACATTATTAAACAACCAGCCCTCCATTGTCAACAATATGTTTACCTGAAGGAAACTTTCTGTAAACTTTCCCGAGTTGTTTTAAATGTTATTGCTACACTATGAATTACCTATGGGCTTCAGGCCGTCAGTATCATCATCAACCTCAAAAACCATAAACGTTAGTGAAGATTTTGAAACTAAAGCGTACATAGATATTCAAAGTTACAATAAACAAAATAAGATAAGTAAAAACTGTCATAACACAAATAAAAAATAAATTATATCACAAAAAAAAATAGACTATAAAGAATTAAAAGACCAATAAATAGATATCTATATTATCATAAATACCTATCAGATTTAAATGTATAGTATTTTTACTATAATATTATAGCACAGAGCAACTACACTACACCTAGGCATTGATTTTTATTATTATATAATTGACTTTTTTTTTAAATTAAATTCAAATTTATATTCGATTTATCTTATGATTTTTCATTTTATTTATATTTTGACAATAATTATACAGCAACTGAAGGCATTAATTATTATTATTACATAATTTCCTTTTTTAAAATTAAATTTAGTATTACTGAAGTAGACCCGGTAAGTTTACAAGGCATTAAAATCGAGAGAGTTTACAATCGCCCAGGGTCATCATTCAATTATATGATAGAGTACCTAAAATATCTTATAGTTTAACCCAATAGTCCATAGGTTACTTATACAGGGGTGGCTACACTTTTTATGTTAAAGACCTACTGAGAAATTATTTTTCCTTACAATTTTTTTTTTACACTGACACTAGTGGAATTTAAAAATACTTATATCTTATAATTAAATATTTTTTTGGAGAGTGTATTGGAAAAAAGTAAGCGGCAAGGATGAAAACTGTACAATATAAAAGTATAGTGAGGTGGTATGAGATTATCACTAGGGGTATCTTCTCATCACATTCCGACCACTGCTACTAATTCAGTGGCATAATTAACAGGGATTCATCTCTTTAGTTCCCATAGGTACCTATGGACAAATAGATGTCCAATAATAATAATTAAAATAAATTTCAGTTGATTGTGCATAGCCCAGCGGATGTTCCAGTCGGAATCCAACCTACAGCTTACGTTACCGGTAGTAGTATGCTGTCCGTAGCATTGTCACTGAATATTATACGTACTTCACATAAAATCAAAAAGTGGACTCCAAAACTTCGAAATTGTTATTATCAACACGAAAAAAAATTGAAGTTTTTTAAGATCTACACACTTCACAATTGCGAAATGGAGTGTAGAGCCAATAACACGCTTAACGTATGTGGTTGCAATGCTTATTTCCAACCAAGTGAGTATCTATGATTGCATTTATATTATTATATCTATATTTTATACTATATTACTATGTTCAACTATTAAGTTTATTATATCCATATATTATAGAAATGGGTAATAACTAATAAGTAATTAGTTAATAACAATTTACTTAACTCTATATAAAAAAAAAACAATACATTTATTGAAAATGACTATATGATATAATATTGTAAATTGTAATACTTATGAGTTATGAGTTATGATATTATAACATTTAAGTTATTTTACAGGAGATCCGGGAGTTTCTGTTTGTGGTACTGAAAGTTTAGAATGTATTAGAGAATCCTCGACTATCGGTGAATTTTTGATTTAATTTTATTACACTTCTAATAATATAATATTATAGGTAGGCACATTATAATATTCGTGTTTCAGGTTATTCGATTTTCAAGAAAACACTAAACATGTCAAATAACATCAAAGGTTGTAATTGTTTGCCATCATGTACAAGCATTCAGTACGAGTATGAAACTGTGGAATTTTTTAGGAACTGGACAACAAATTCTACAAAACCGAAACTGTAATTAATAATTAAATATGTAATCACAGACAATTTAATGAAAATAAACTGATGTTGTTCTGATTTGACGTAGAGTTCTCACGGAAAAATCAGCTGTAGTATTGATTTACTTCAAACGAAAATCTGTGATCGATATACAAAAAACTCCATTGATGCCGTTCAACGAACTATTAGGTATAGGTACAATTATTTTTGAACATAATACTTTTGTTTTCTATTATTTTAATTATTGTTTGTTAATGATTTTTTTCAGGTAACATAGGCGGCTTGTTTGGATTATTTCTGGGTTGCAGCATAATCAGTTTCTTCGAAATCTTATATTTTTTCGTAATACGATTATATTTTGACCATCGGAATCTTAGAAAGGCCAAATCAAAAATAAAGCCGAGTTTTATCATTGAATCATAAAAAAAAAAGATACGGGAATACTAGTATTAAATATGTATATTATATTATTATATAAACATAATAATATTATAATAAAATAGTGTGAATTTTTGTGACGTAAGAAACTCATTATTTTTGCAAACTATTACAATTTTCGAAAATATTTTTTTACCTAACTTGAAATTAATTTAAAGAAATACCTATTATTTTTTATCTGCATTATTTTTAAGTTTTTATTTTTTTCAAGGAATATAATATACATTTTTAATTTCATATTCCTATGTAGAATATTGAACTAATAGTTAGTTAGGTAGTTTAAGTATTTTGAGTTTAGATAAACAGTGTAAAGTGAAATTCCCACAAAATTGTATAGAATTGAATTTATACCTATAGGCTAAGTATATTATTGTAATTTAAAATAGAAAAAAACGTTGAAAGTAAATAATATAATTATAAAAACTTAAAAATATTATTTTTTAACGATTTCAAATAATTTACAACATTTATTCATAAAAAAGTTTAGTTTCCTAAATGTTGAGTGTCTTAAGTTAAAAAAAAATCATCCTGTATAATGTATAATAATTTACTATATAAGTATTACCATTTATTTATCTAGAATAAAACTCAACATTATATACTCGCACTGCACAATATCCATTAATTTGTTTTATTTTGTTTGTTATTACATTTAAAAATCACGGAATTTAATATTTTGAAAATTTAAATAGCTACTTATATGATATTAAAAAGTAAAATAATTTATTTTGTTGATCATAATATCTATGTATAATTATTTTTTGCCAATAATAATTATATATTTGTTAAAACAAACTAGAAGTGAAGTAGAGGTACTAACTGTCAATTTGTGTGGAATTTTAGGTTCAAAACCTTGGATTGTGTGGAAATTAGAAGTAATTACATACACAGTCGCATATAGTATCAAGCTTAAAGTATTGATTCTACAATAACGTGCAGTTTTCTATTATTATTTTTTATTTCTGTAAATACAGTTGATTTTAAACTTTGAGGGTAGTTAGGTAGCAAATTTTTTTTTTATATTTTGGGGTTCAAAAGTAAAAAGCATCCAGTACTTTTTAAAATAACCAGGATAAATTTGTTGAATATTTTGAATTACAACGTGAGTGCGTAGTACCTAATACCTATATTTAAAAGTATAAATAATTTAATATTTCAATAATTTATGGTATTTACAATGGAAAATGATGTAATATAAGTATTGTTATAACAAATACTTATAATTAGAATGATAGGCAATATTCTAAAATTATTATAAATGTGCAGTATTATCATTTTTAGTTCAGGAACATACACCAATCTATACTTAATCTATATCAATTAAAAATATATTACATCAAACCCAAGCATCATACTTATAGCACATGATTCAAAATGATTTTCAAGATAAAAAAAATTGATAATATAAAAAAATCATTATTTTCAAATAATAAAGGACGATAAGTACCTATATGTATAGTTAATTAATAATCGTGCATATGCATTATGCATACTTGGCAAAAATATGAGTAACCCTAGTAGGTTCGGATAATATTGTATATTATATAGTAGGTTACTCTATTGAAAATCATAGTTAAATTTACATAATATTGAGTAAAATGTGTAATTTGTATAACACTGATATATTAAATCATATTTTAATAGGTACATAATAAATAATAATACCTGAACATTTTGTCTGTTTTATGATTTCCTATTATATCATAGTGAATATTTCTATTTTAATTGAAAAAATATATATTATAATTCCTCTTGTCTGAAAAAGTACTATATTAAATTAATACATTAAGTATATGATGCAGTTATGTAGACACAAGGCAGTACACGGTTTAGTTATCTCCCGTAATTACGCAATTATTGTGCAATGTTCTTACTGTAATATATAGGTACTTACTTACCTGTACATAATATTATACTTAACTATATAGTGAACACTAAAAACTTTTTTTATTTATCAACCCGTAGAGGCGTAGCTCTGTCGTTCTAGGCCCTAGGGTTGCAACTTGCCACTTACAAGATGTCCAGTACTCCAGTATATTATATAGTTCAGCCATAGGACAATAATATTAGCCTCATCGGGACGCCAACCTTTATTTTTTTCCCAAAAACGAAATTATAATATTCCTTTTTTGGTATACATTTAAAACAGACACTATACGAACAGATATTATAATTAATGCCAACTCTGCACCCCTCCCTTATTGTGTTTATTTTTTTGAAAATACACCTATCTCAAAATCTTTAGATGATAATAATAATATTATAATACTGTGTAGTATCATTAATATAATAACTGATAGTCATTTTTAATGAGCAAGCAAGGTCACATACACACATGAATATACTATACATTTTATAATATTAGTATATATAAGCAATATAATATTACTGATTTAGTTTTGTCGACCCGAGTTGTTAATAATATTAGTAATATTTATTGTTATTCAAATAAATAAATAAATAAATAAGTGAATAAAACGGGCCCAAGGCCCAGTGGTAATTGTTATATTAGGTATAAACGATAATATTAGTTTTTTGCAAGTCTATTTATGTTAATAAACAATATGTGAGCTTATTGTATTGGTAGTAAATATTAAGCAAACATATTTTAAGTTTTTATTAATAAATGAACTGCAAGGCCAATTAACAAACTCATAGAGTAAGCAATAAGCATTCCATTTTTTTAAATACAATAGTATAAGCACAATATTTAAAAGATGAAACATAGAAATCATAAACAATATAATTATATAACTATTTACATAAAAATTAATCACTTACTTGATTGAATTTGTTTGTACAATACAAATCGATTGGAAATAAGAATAACAATGATGCCATACCTGATGATATTCGGCAAAATTATTTGTAAGTTTGTAACACATGATTTTGGAAACTAGGAGTCCTTCTAGTGCTATCTCAGAAGAATTCAGAAGAGAGTGACCTATGTGTTTTCGAAAACGAATCAGTGCCCGCTGTGCAATAATAATAGTGTAGTTCAGTAAACTGATCCGAAAACTCTTTTCAGTTATTGATTTTAGACATATTTTGATTTTAATATAAATTCAGTATAATTTCAACAGTAACTATAGATTATCTGTGTAATTATTGATTTAATTCATCAACTCCCTTTTATAAGTTATACCTAATACTTGTGTTGTGTATTTTGCAAGTAAAAAGGTAACATCCGGTGTAATGAATAATAGTCTGGTTTTATATATTTAAATAATTTTTTAAGGCAATCATTACGTGAATGAGGCATTAAATTTTCATTCACTTAAGTCAGATGAGCTTATCACCATTCTACAAATTATCTGAATTAAACCCATAGACAGTCTGGTGGTTTACATAAGATTCCGTTACAGTTTATTTATCCATTTAATATTTTTATCGATTTAATCATATCAGGTTATTTTAGTGATTGGTGGACTTCGGATTAAAGAAATTGGTAGTACAGAATGCTACGACCCAAAAATCAACCAATATGGAGGTTTGGACCAGAAATAATTACCTCGTTGGAGTGCTGGTCTAGCTGTAAAGGATAATTTTGTTTTTGCTGTGGGTGGTGGACGGTGGTTAAGTATCAGTGTATCACCTTATCATTATGTTGATGTGTTAGATTTATCCTCAAAATCTCCTTGTTGGAAACCATTTTTTGACATGTTATTTAAAAGAAATGGATTAGGAGTTGGTAAAATAAATAATTATAATATACGCCGTAATAGTTATGTTGAATTATGAGTTTATACTATATTAGTTATTTCTAACTTTCTGTTATGAAATATGTACCTAGGTACCAATAAATTTTATTTATATAATAAATTCAAGGTCGGTGGACATGACGGTACTAGCAGTTTAAATAGTGCAGAAGATTTTGACTGCCATAGGGCCATACTCAAAAATGGCGTAGGATATCTAATATGTCTACTAGAAAAGCTTCCATTGGGGTCGGAGTACTAAAAAATCTTTTGTGTGAGGTAAGTTAATATTTTAATTTATAAGTTTAAATTTGTAATAATATATAGTATTATATTGTAAGTTATAATTCTAATCAGAATAAAACAATTTCTCTAAGGTAAAATCACGAAATATATCCCCGATGTTAAATATTTTAATACATTTAAATTTTAAATTTACAAATAAATAAGTAATATATAGGTACTAATATAGATATTTGTTTTTATTCCTTCTCAATTCAATGATTTAATAATTAATTACCTTCTTTGGAAACAGATTTATTTTCATTGAGCGACAAACCTATATAGGAGTAACAAAACTCGATTTAAATTGTTTAACAGTTTTATTCATATACCGTAATAAAACATGTAATCTTATAGTTGTTATAATTTATTAATATTGTAAATGTTTTTGACCTCCCCAGTGCATCACTCGCTCCGCTCGGAATATTCAGCGAACCTCCAAGTGTTGTCTCTTGAATAATATTATTCAGCATTTTTAATAGGCTGGAGGGACTCGAACAACCAACAAATATTGGTCGGACTCAACTCTGATAATCCAAAAATATTTTTGGGACTCAATTCAATATCACCGGTCATACTCATCCTTCAGGCCCTCTAAACATTTTATATTTGATCCTAAAGCTATATATTTTGATTTTGTTATATTTAATGCTTTTTCGAATGTCACACCATAATCGTTACAAATAGCTGAAAACGAAAGAAACCACACAATTCACAGAAATAAAACAACTGCAGGGACTCCATCCACGATAACTATGAAAATTATTATTATATTCATTTTAGGAATTTTATAATGTTGTAATGATACCTATCATGACATTCATAAATCTTATTCTTATCTATATTTTATTTTCATATATGATGCATATACTACCACGAACTAAGATATATTTTGTCTACGAAAGTTCCAACAATATAAATTATCGTCAATTATGAGTATTTTCTAAATTCTTTGAATTTTCTTTTTACTACTGTAAAGTTTATTAGGTACCTACTATTCAGAAT